TACAGAAATATCATATATAACAAGGCATCTGAGAGGTGTGAAAGAGTGAGAACCAGCGAGACTAAAAGAAAAGAAAAAGGGGAGGCTCTCTAGGTTGTTACTTGATTTTTGAAATATGAATTAGATGCAGAGCCAAGTTTCATTTTAGATATTACTGTAGACACTGAAGATTCATCAAAGAACAGAACAAAGCCCCATCTTCATGGTGCTCACATTCTGGGGGAGGGAGACAGATGATAAACAGCTAAATATATGATATGGCAGGCAGCAATAAGACATATGTAGAAAAATAAACCAGGGTAAGTGGAGAAGGGACTACTCAAATGTGAGAGTGGGGATGGGGTAGTGCAGTTTTTTATAGGGTCATCAGGGAAGACCCTCTAATAAGGTAATTTTTTAGCCACTGGAGGAGTCACTCTAAGGCCCTCGTAATCCTGAATTCTAGGTTTAGGTGGAGGGAAAAAACAGACAAAAAAGTTGGACTATATATGCAAAAGAGAAAAGAGCAAGAAGAGGGGCAAGGTAAATTTATTTGGGTGTGCATCTCTGGGTGTTTTACCTTTTTAAGTGGGTTTCTCTCTGCATATATTGTCTGAGGGACAGTATAGGGATGGTGGGAAGGAAAGAAAGGGAAACAGACAATATATGTGCCTCTATAACTTTAATTAGTTCATCTATGAGTTGACTATAACTTAAATTCTTTTATCATAAGGTGATTCATGCTCCTTATTTTAACATTGGTACTACTTAAAAGACTTCTCAAAACTGGCTATAGAAGTTTCCAGAATTCCAGACTTGCAGGCAAAGAAAATACACAAAAGCAACCTATTCTACTTCAGCTCTGGTTCCAGTTCAATCCTGAGGCAGATTATATGCAAACTCTTGCACCATCACCGTGTCCCCCTTCAGGCTGGTGAGAATATCAGAGCAATCACTGAGAAACTCAGCCATGGCCCTGTTATGGATTGAATTGTATCTCCCAAAAATATGTGTTATAAATCCTAACCCCTGTGGCTGCAACTCCACTTGGGAATGTGTTTTCTTTGTTGTGTTTATAAGGCAATATTAGCGTAGGGGTTTTAAGCCAGTCTCTTTGGAGATCTAAAAAGGGCAGATTGAGCAAGCAACCAAACCAGCGGAGATGGGGGAAGATAGATGCCAAGCCACATGAAAGAAAAGAAGTTGAAAAGAGAAAAGGACCTTCCTCCAGAGCCGACAGTGAGAGAAAGCCTTCGCCTAGAGCCAGCACCCTGAATTTGGATTCTAGCCACCTAAACCGTGAGAAAATACATTTATGTTTGTTAAAGCCATTTAACTTGTGATGTTCACCTTATAGCAGCATGAGATAACTAAGGCAGGCCTCAACCTTGGCTCCAGGGCTCCATTTTTTACTTTTCTAGGGAGATGTTTGGGAAGGACAAAGAACCTTCTTTCAAAACCGGATGTGATGTAACAGGCCAGCTTCTTTGAATAGTGATATGTTGTCATTCTCTTAATGTTAACCATTTCTGCAAAGTTTGCTTGACTTGCATTTCTTCCCAGGAAACAGAAAAAACAAATGTGTAAATGCACACTGTGCTCTTAGAAAGCTACATTTTTTCACTTTCCTTCTCAATTGTCAACTCAATCCATGGAAGATTTATTGAACCTGAACTGTGAGATAAAAGGGTCCTGTCCCCAGAGAGTTTAGTTTGATCAAGGAGGCAACACATACAAACAGAAAAGCATTTGGGGGGAGGGCAATGCTAGACAGCAGGAGTCAGAAGGAAGGTTCATTCCTGTGGGCTGAAATAACCAGGGATTACTTCACGAAGAGGGTGATATGGGATTTGGAGTTGAAAAGGAGATGAAATGTGTCTGGGTGAGGGTGTTTTCATCAGAAGATAATTACGTGTGGAGGTGTGGAGAAGGAAGTGTTCATGGCATGAAAGGCGGCAAAGAGGAGACTGGCCCACCTGGAGCCGAGTTTTGTTTTGATGGAAACCCAGATAGTCCATCCAGAGATACCTCCAAGAGATGGCCATGGCTCAGAGACAGCTTTCCTTGTGGAGAAAATAAGTCATGTGGCCCTCTGCCCATCGTTGCCACCACTATAAAGCAATCAAGGACAGACATTAGGAGAAAACAGCTCATTTCCTCAAGCACCAATTTTCCACAGGCACTTTCATAAACTAAGAATTTTCCTATGCTAAGGGATAGGCAGGTTTCTTTAATAAAAAAACAAGTCTCAAATCTGAAGGAAATATTCACATACCCATGTGCTGAAAGAGGGCATACTCAATTCCCCATGTGCCCAGTGGGCACCCTCCATGGATCAGGACGGAAGAGCTGAGGCCCCCTAGTGGCCATAGCCACATGTTACTGTCTCCAATGAAAAGGGCCCTAAAATGCTAAGAACTTAAGCCAAGAAAGACCATAAATGGTACATTTCTCTTTCAAGGTGATGCCGTGGGCACAAAGCTGCTCTGTCTGAGATTTGTGAAGCTGCTTGTGCACGAGTTGGATTGTGACTTTGACTGGTAGCCAGTTGTAAGTCAGCGGTGCTGAAAACCTGTTCTATATATCCATGCCAGCATGTACTCATGGCATCACTGTGGACAAAGCTGGTAATCAACAGCATCCTGTGAGGACAATTGCATCATAGAATAAATACTAGGCTAAAATATCAGCATAATCCAAGACTTTTCCAAAGAAAGCTTTCAACATACATCATCATGAGCATTAGACAGTGCTCTATTTGTGCTGTCTGAGGTTTTTCTCTTCCCCCTCAGATGCAGGGAAGTCTTCTCTGGAGAAGTGTAGTAAATTCCAAGGTTCCAGAAACTTAGATTCATTTTTCCTCCATGCAGAAGAGCAAACTAAATGGGTGAACCTCCAAGGGCCCTTCCAATCTAGCCCCAACCTACAAAAGAAGTAACAAATATACCTCTCACTGTGTCTCTCCCAAAAATAATGATTCCCTTCCCATTGGTCCCTTCTCAAGTGTCTGTCTTACTGCTTCCCAAAACAAATCCTCTTTGGTAAGCTGTTCAGCCTCCACACCTTTAAATCTTGGTTTGGAGTTCCTTTTCCTACTCCTTCTGGTTATCTAAATCATACCTATGCTTCAAGCTTCAGTCCATCTCAAGTGTCTCTTCTGCAGAGGAACTTCCCTGGTCATTGACGTCTAATTGAAAGTTTCCTGCCTCTTAGCTGACATAGCTTCATTGGGTGACATTAAGTAATAACTTTTAGAACTGTGTGACATGCTGCCTTGTGTAATTAAATTATTATCTGTGAGCCTACTCCTTAACACAAAAGAGTCTAGGGAGCACAGGCCAGGTCTGATTCATTTTTTTTAATGCTCTAATATCCAAATTTCTTTGTACTTAATCTTCAGATACCCGTTAGTTCTCCCAATCAATGTAAATATAATTTAAGAAGCAAGTTATTTGGGGTTTGGAAGATTCATTGACAAAATCAGCTGTAACCAAAATAATACTGCCCTCAGCAAACAAGGAAACATGACTAGCCTTTATGCATGCTATATTATTTTGATATCTTGACTCAAGATATATTTAATTTGTAATTCAGAGCTAGTGCACGAAATACTTGAAGCCTTAACAGATCTGACCATTGACTAATATGGCGGTAGATGCACAATGGGTAAGAAAAAAGGAAATACGTTTCCAGGCCAGAGTGAGGGGGTGGAGGACACACGGGTTACTACAGGAACCACCAGTCCAGTAGTGTCAAGTCTGATGAGTTCTAGTTGTGCCTGACTGAGGCTTAGGGGAAGTGCCCCAGAGCCTTTCCCCAGAGCCAATAGCTGACTGTCCACACACTCACTAGCAAACACAAAACTGAGGTTCAGACTTTCCCTCACTATTCAGGGCAATTCTTTTTGACCTCCTACTTCATTCCTACACTTATTGCAGTGTTCTATCCTTGTTCAAACCCAGCTGGCATTGGTTTCTGGCCCCTCGGAATTAACAACAGATTTTGGCTTTCTGGGGATTGACCCTCCCTCTCTCTTTCTTCCTTCTCCACACTCATCCCAACCAAGCCCCATCCCTAGTGAGCTCTCCCTATATTGGGCCAGCCCAGGAATGGGCTTTCCAAAGTTATCACAGAGGATCAGAATGAAAGGGAGTTGTCTTAGTCATCTAGTGCTGCTGTAATACCACAAGTGGATATTTTTTTAACAAAGAGAAATTTATTTTCTCACAGTCCAGTAGGCTACAAGTCCAAATTCAGGGCATCAGCTCCAGGGGAGGGCTTTCCCTCTCTGTTGGCTCTGGAAGAAGGTCCCTGTAATCAATGTTCCCCTGGTCTAGGAGCTTCTCTGTGCAGGAACCTCAGGTCCAAAGGACATGCTCCGCTCCCAGCGCTGCTTTCCTGGTGGTAGGAGGTCCCCCTCTCTCTCTGCTCGCTTCTCTCTTTTATACCTCAAAAGAGACTGGCTCAAGACACAATCCAATCTTGTAGACTGAGTCCCGCCTCATTAATGTAACTGCCACCTATCCCACCTCATTAACATCATAGAAGTAGGATTTACAACACATAGGAAAATCACATCAGATGACAAAATGGTGGACAATCACACAATACTGGGAATCATGGTCCAGCCAAATTGACACACATATTTTTGGGGGACACAATTCAATCCATGAGGAGGAATCTGAGAGATACATCTCCAGGCCTCTTCTTCTGGCACCTGAACCAAGGGGTCAGGCCTACCTGGGCCATGATTTAGAAGTGAGAGTCTTAAAGCTAGAAATAGCATCTCCAGTCTGCATTGCATCCTCTTTAGATAATTAGCTCTAGGAGATCTTTTGGCCCAGTGGTCCAAGTCAGGTCATCAATGAGAAGGTCAAATAGCAGTTTGCTAAGTTTCAAACTACACATGATAACACTACCTCCCTCTCTCCTCTCCACTACCACATCCCACACCACCCAGGTCCCACCTCAGGCCCCACAACCCCATCCTGGGTGGGGCCAAGTCCTGAGGATTTACTTACCAAACTCCTCGGGTGATTCTTATCTGTTGCCTTGTTGAGAATTACTATGTTTAAAGAAAGATGGAAAGAGATCTGGGGAAAAAAAATTCATGTTAAATGGTTTCCTGTTGCAATGAGAAGTGTGTTCTTCAATTCTGCAGGCTTAAATATCCCATTTCAGCTTATATTTTTGAAATAATTCCTCTGGGTAATCCACTCTGAGGTCCCAGGAACCAGCACTGCTATTTTGGTACTTTCTAAAGTGATTTAAGTCAGTAGTTATAAGACCTTGATTTCTGGCCTAGCTTTTCAGACTGAAGGCTCAAAACAAGATGATAAACTTTCAGGGAAGCCAGGCCTGTGCCAGAGGTCTTCTTCTCCACTATAATAGGAAAGGAGTGAAGGGCTCTGTTTTTCTTCAGAATTCCTCGAACTAAAGGCATCATCAATACAGAGCTCTTCAGTGGGATCTTGGACAGAACTTTCCAAAATAAAACAATTTCCAAAGTTATAAACATGTTGGCTGTTTTGGAAAATGTGAGACTCTCTGGTCATCATCAGTTTGTAATTGTTAAATTTTTACAAGCGAGTTGAAAAGGAAGTATTTTGGTAACAAATTTCTCAAATCGAAATAACAAAGGCAAAATTATCCTAAATGTATTCTCTGCGTGACATAAATAGGACAAGTCTGTTCTTTGAGAAAAATTCTCTTTCACACCCTCATTTGCTTCAGAAGAATAGTCAGGTCAACGTTATTTTGTAAAGAAAGAAAGGAAAATAAGAAAAATAAAGGTGAATTAAAAAAAAGAAAAAAAGACATACAACCTGAAAGGCTCTCTCCAAAGCAGACCCCTGGTGGCTGGAATGTCACCTGTCTATCCCAGACTCTCATCTGCCAGTGCTAAGCACACTACACCCCAGCCAACCCCACAGCCCAAAAGAATGGACCTTGCCAGTGTTAGATGAAGAGAAAGATTGGCAGGTCCTAGAACAAGGTCCCTCCTTAGGTCATGCATATCTACAGGTAACTAACCTCCTGTAGGTGTCACCCATCTTCCACACCCACTCCCTTGCCCACCCGCCCAGCCCATCCTGGTCTGCACTGTCAGAATGCGACCATTTTACCATTCTTCAACATTTTCCTGCCCAGCGAATATCTGGTTTGTGGATTATTTTGCTCCAGACATATCAATTTGCATTTTTCCATGATGATTCGCTGTTTGTCCCTGTCTTTCCCATTTTCCTAATCCCTTTAGGTTATTCCTTCGCTTCTGCTGGTGTTTGTCACATTTCTCCATTCAGAATCATCTGTGAATTTCATTTGCAAGCCCTCCCTCTATCCCTCAGGTCGTTAATAAAGACAGGTCTGAGAGAGATGGGACTAAAGGCCAGCTTCCTGACCTACCCTGGAGACCACCCTCCCGAGCCAGCCCAGTGTCCTGGAGCCTGTTTACTTCCATTTTTCCAGCCATATGGCAGGATGGGCAGCCAAGATGCTCTGCCTTCATTGATGCCACATCAAACTTCAGAATTCATGGATGGAACATCTGTTCCTGTCAGTTTTTATGCTGAGGTTACAGACCAAAGAAAAGGCTTTGCCTTTGCCTCGAAAGCCCCATGGCAAATTGTTGTCAATTTAATGTTTGCCATATGGAAACATAATCCTCCCTCCCCCCTCCCCACCCTGTGGGAAATTACATTCCCCTCTATACCCCCAAATGATTCACAGGGCTCCCTCCACTCTCTTCTGATTGTTGTACAGGACAAGCAAGCTCCCTTTCAGATTAGGCAGCAGGGAACCAAGGCCAGTCAGTCCTTCCAAAATCATTTGAAAACTGGCCTGCAATGTTCTCCTCTCTCACTGAGCCTCTTACTTTCCATTTTGTGCAAATTAAGTTTTGCTGATCAAGGCATGGCTTTGCCAACTAACAAAACCTAATTCCATGTCGGTCCTAGGAAGCAGGCAAGGGGCTGAAATCAGGATGCTCAAGAAAGAGATGCAAATTAGATTTTAAAGCAATTTTTGAGGATAAGAGGACCCCAGAGAGATTTGTTCTTTCCCTGAACCAGTTTTTCCTACTAGCTTGGCCAATCATTCAACTAGGCTGAGCCGATTTCCTCAGCCTTAGGATAAGGAGTTTGAACTAGACAATGTCTAAGGCCCCTTCCGGCTCTATGATTCTATCTGAAGAATTTCACAGAGTACAGAAAGGAGTGTTTCCTTCCGAAAAGATATTCTCAGTGCAGAGGGGATGTCTATAGGGCTGAGAACTGGGCCTTCTAACGAGTTCCAGAGCTCTCTGTGAGATCTCAAAGGGCTATTTGAATCATTTTTATTATGGTACTTCTTTTTTTTCATAGTATCATGAAGATACAATCAAAGTCAGCCCTGAAAAATTGTTAAGTATACAGAGTTCGTCTCTGTTCTTTACACATCATCTTTATAAAATAATTGTTTATGGAGCTCCAACACTCCTCCTCCTTGGCGGGCGCCTATTGTACGAATCACTCCTAGGAATTCATTCAGGTGTTCAGAGCTGACACAAAATGTCACTTCACAAAGGCACTTTCATGAATTCAAGTACTCGAAGAAGAGCTCCCTTAGGATAGCACATCATCCATTCATTCTTGAAATACTGAGCACCTACTGAGTGCCAGGCATATGAATAAAAACTGGGTACACAAAGACAAGTAAGACATGATCCCCACCCTTAAAGAGTTTACAGTTCATCACGGGAGTCAGACAAGTAGTCCACTGTGACATATTTACAAAAGTGACTTGCGAGAGTTAAATAGGATGACCATGTAATTTATAGTACAAACCAGGACGTTTTTAGAGTAACTACTTGCCATTGAGTTGACGCTGACTTATGGTGACACCATGTGTGTCAAATTAGAACTGTGCTCCATAGGGCTTTCAAGGGCTGACTTTCAGAAGTAGATCTCCAGGCCTTTCTTCCAAGGAGCAACTGGGTGAACTCAAACCTCCAACTTCAACCCTTCGGTTAGTAGCTGAGTGTGTTAACCATTTGTCACACCCAGGGACTCTCTTTTTTTTTTTTTAGAGGTCGGGGGGGCAATATTAAGTAATACACCAGGGAAATGCATAAACTAGATCCTTCATAGACAAACCAGCACACATGATCCCCTAACTAAAGAGAAAGACCTACTATTTATTGAACCACTTCATGTCATCATTGAGAATGAGCCAAACACTACTCAGCTAAAACTTTACCCAGAGAATTAGACGATGCCTGAAAATCAGCAATGGTTTGCATTCCTTTTTCTGATGATTTCTGTAAAGCCTGCTATTCATTACTACTTTTCTTTCTTTTTTTTTACAAGTGACTCCCCATAGAAGGGGTTATTAGTAGAATCTTAATAATTTAATTAAGCATTTACATTTCAGGTGTCTAGTCTATGAGAGAATAGCTTGCCCAAATCCTTACAAGAATTCCACTCCTGTATTTTCAATGCACTTCACTATAAAAACCCTTTCCATGGAGCTAAGCTCAGAAGACTGGATTATAGGTGAGATTATTTTATAATAAACTCCCTCCTTCCTCCAGGTCCTCCGTGGTGGCTCCATGACATACTGAATTTAATCCTATACTTTAATGGTTTCACAAGTACCTAAAAGAGAAAATTATTTTTCTGTGCCATTAGCCCCAGTCCAAGGCCTTTTTGCCAGGCAGTTAGGATCAGGGATGAACAAAAAAGGTTGGGTATATGTTTCTTTACAATCAAGATGCTCTCTTTCTACACCCTGTTGCTAATGGATCTCTCATAAGAGTTTACCCTTTAGCCCTATCGCTCTGTATACATTGTAAAAATAATCATACTCTAGCACTCCCTGAAATTTTCTCTCTAAAATAACTGAAGCCCAGTGGCCTGGGTGGGCCCAAAGAGCTCCAAGGAAGCCAGCCGTCCAACAAGCTAAACCTTCACACAAGACTGACGGTCATCTCCTCTCTAGAAGTGTAGTCAGACCCTCAGAACAAGATGGCACCATGGTCCAGGACCTAAATTCTTCCACAGCTGCTCTATCAACCAGAGAAAAGTCTTCTCTGTTGTAAGGAAATTCAAAATGTGTGCCTCATTCGGGCCCTGTGTTTATTGTCCAAAGTCACAAATATAAGAATCAAATGGGCACATTGCTTAGCTAATAAATAACTCCACAACTTAAAAGTGTCAAATGTATGTGTATTTAGAACTCGGATTCTCCATCATCAATAACTAGTGAGAAGGAAGAGCTACAAAAGGCAACCATGGGATTAGATTGTCTTACAGAGAATCCCAGTTAAGAACCTGCTGTAAACAGCATGCTTAAGGGCGAGACAATACAAGAGTTCTCTCTGGCATCAGGAATGAGACAAGTATCCCGATGCTCACCATTCTATTCAGTGCAGGTCCCAGTCTGCATAATAAGACAAGGAAAAGAAATAATAAGTATAAGAATTGGAAAGGAAAGAATAAATTCTTTATTATCTGCAGATGATATAATTTCCTGAATAGAAAATCCAAAAGAATTTACAGACAAAAATATTAGCATAAATAGAGAACAACAAATTTGCAAGGTAGCAATCGATACACAAAAAGCAATAACATTCCTCTACTCCAGCAATGCCAAATTAGAAAGTGTAATTTTAGAAAAAGACTCTATTTACAATAGCAACAAAAACTGTAAGGTAACCAGGAATGTATGTAACAAGAGATTGGCAAAATTTTATAGAAAAATATTATAAAACCCTTTGAGATACAAGAAGGAAGATCTAAATAAATAAAGAAATACCCTGGACTCATAGTAGGGAAGTTTCAACATCAGTATATTAATAATTCTGCTCAAATGCATCTATAAATTCAATGTTATTTAAAAAAAAATCTTGATACTTTTTTGTTTGGAAATTGTCAAATAATTTTAAGAAAAAAAATGAATAAAAACAATTCTTTACTAGTTGTCAATAATTGCTCTAAAGTTACAGTAATTAAAATAGGGTTAGCACCACACACCAAGGGGATAGACCCACACCTATAGAGAAACTTTAAAAAGGAAAGAGGTGACAATACCAGTCAATGGAGGAAGGATAAGCTATTTAATAAGTGATGCTGGTTCAACTGGCTATCCATACAGAATAAAGAAAAATTAATTGCCTATACAAAAATAAACCTCATATGAATTAAGAACATACCCATTGATAACCACTGCTGTTGAGTCAATTCCAATTTACAGCAACCCTATAGGACAGAGTAGAACTGCCCCATAGGGTTTCCAAGGAGCACCTGATGGATTCAAACTGCCGACCTTTTGGTTAGCAGCCACAGCTCTTAACCACTACACCACCATGGTTTCCAGTTAAGAACCTAGATGTAAAAAAAGCAATGCTATAGAACTTTCAGAAGAATATACAGAAGTGTATCTTTATAACTTTGGGGTAAGGAAGGGTTTCTTATACAAGGCACAAAACATGCCAACCATAAAAGAAAGGAAGATAAATTCAACTACAATAAAGTTTAAAATTTGGGGGTAAAACAAACAAACATAAGAATTAAAAGGCAAGTCACAAATTAGGAGAAGATATTTCTAACCCTTAAAGCCAAAAAAGAATTAGAATCAGTATCCAGAATATACAGGTATCCTTCACATCAAAAACAAAAACAAAACAAACCAAAAAAATGGCAAAGGATATGAACAGGGAATTTGCAAAGAAAAATATCTGGATAGCCAATAAACATATGAAAACATAAAGGAAATATCATTTCACACCAATCAGAATAGAAAAAAATTAAGTCTTATTATTAAGACTTAATAAAATTCAGAATTAAAAAATGTAAGTCTTATTATTAACACAGATATTGGCAATGATGAGGGGAAACATGATGTCTATAGTAGTGATGAGAATATAAATATCTCAGGCACTTTGGATAGTAATTTTACATTGTCTAGGCAAGCTGGAAATACACATGGCACCAGGTAATTTTACTTCCAGGTAATTACCCTAGAGAAACTCTCACATATGTGCACAAGGAAACTTCTACACAGCTGATTGTTGCAATATTATTTATAATACCAAAATGTCAGAAACTATCTGAATGCCCATCAGTAGGGAATTGCCAAACTATGGTATACATGCAGTACTGAGATTATGAACCAGTTCCGTTCCTAAATCTGTCCTTAAGTCGAATTTGTATGCAAGTCGGAACAGTTAGGTATGGTTCGTATCTAACATCAGTTAGTCAAGTGTTTGTCTTAGTACATAAAAAATTAAAGAAACACTAAAAAACTTGTTTACGTAATAATACAGTAATAATAATAATGTTTCGATACACATCGCAAAGTAGCGCTCATCTGTTATTACAGACCATTGTATGTACTGGAATTTTCAATCTAATAGGCTTTACAAGGGTTGGTTTGTAACTATGGGTTGTACGTAAGTCAGACGTTCATAACCTAGGGACTGCCTGTATTCATATAATGGAATACTAAGCCACTCTTAAAATGAATGAATAATTGTATAGGTAGTAAAGTGGATAAATCTGGAAAATCTAAGTTGAGTAAAAACCATTTATGTACATTTTAAAAACTCAAAACAATATATTGAGAACATACCTATGTAGTCAAAGTTAAAAATCCACATGAGAAGAATAAATACTAATTTAAAGATAGTGATTATCACTGGGGGTTTATTTTATCTATAATATTTAATTTCTTTTTAAAGAAAAGATCTGAATCAAATATAGTAAAATATTAACATCTTTTAAATTCAGGTGGTAGATGCATTAATATTTGTAATATTATTTTGGTGTGTATGTAATTAACATTTCCATAACTTAAATATTAAAAAGAAAGGAGAAGAAAAATATTAAATATTAAGTAAAGAGATATATCAATAGGTAAATAAGTTAAAAGATGAATGGGCACCCCAGACATTGAGGCATGTTACACAAACCGTGGTAGAATATTAAGTTGCTAGGGCCTTAGTAGGTATCTAGTCTTATTCTACATTTAGCACATGTAGAAATTAAGACCCAAGGAAATTGACTTCCCCAAAGCCAGTCAAGTAGTCAGAACTGAAACCCAGACCTCCTAAAACTCACAGTCTAAGACTCTCCCTTCACCATGCCTCAGATGTATATCATTTCTACCTTCATTAGAAGATACCAAGAATTATAGGCATTAGGAATTGTTAAAGAGAACCAAGAGTGGGACTATCCTCAACAAGCCAAGAGTCATTCTCAGATGGTTTTTCTCAATGAAAACAATAACATTTATAAGTTGTCAGAGAAAAATATATAGCAATTAATTTATGCCCTGGTTTCACCCGGAGCCCTAGAATCCCATTGCCATCGAGTTGATTCCGACTCATAGTGACCCCATAGGACAGAGAAGAACTGCCCCATAGGGTTGAGCCCTAGAATAACTTCTGCCAATTATCAATTATGGGCAAACACCATGGAAGAAAAATCAATATTCCAAGGAACAGTGGACTGGGGTTGCAAGAACCCTGCTTATTACCTGGTTGGTAGTAGAAGACCTCACAGCTCATCTTTCTGAAGTCAAGAGATCCTTGAGACCCTACCATAATACCCAACAATCCTTCTCAAACTACTGTGTATTCTGGTCTCTTGAGCAACCTACAGATACTCTGATGCAGATAATTTAATTTAATTTACTCATGGAGTCTGAAGGCAGTGAGCTCCCCAATTTATTCCTTTCATCCTCTTCCCACCCACCTTAACCATGGCTTCATTCATAAAATACTTGTTATCTGCATTGAAGACTGAGTCCTTTCCAGCCCCTGCTGCATTATTATAACTAGAAGTAATAGCTAATTTTATTGAATGTTTACTAAACGCTAGGCATCGTTCTACGTACTTTTCAATTAACTCGTTTAATCCTCACAAAAATCCTATGAGGTAGGTACAATAATTATCATCATTTTAAAGACACAGAATCACAAGCACAGAAAGACTTAAGAACATCTTCCAAGGTCACACAGCAAATAAAGTGGTGGAAAAGAATTGAAACCCAGGCAGTTTGATTCCCAAACCTGAACTATCACACACTACACTGAACTCTATTTATTAAGTGCCTACTCATTCTTGAAAAAGAATTCAAAAGAAATGGAGATAATTTTCCATTACTCCATGGCCTTTGACTCCGCTATTGTTGAAGTCACAGTGTCTAGGCGACACTGTGTCTAGGGGACAAGAACGACAATACTGTCCAGGCTCCAAGCCTCTGCCCACAGGTGACGTATCAGAGGGACTCTCTGACTTGGTTTATGGTAATTTTTCATTTGTGAGGGGCAGTGACCTCGCCATTATTTCCCTGGTGCCTAATAAAGGATCTGATACATGGTTAGTAAATATTTGTTAAGTGAATCAAAATGGCAAAACGATATGACCTAAGAGAAAGGAATAGGCTGAGACTTCTGAAAGTTAAGGAAGAATAGTAACCCCCAAAGTTGTTTGTGTGTTCATATGAGTACACGTGTGTTTGATCTGAGGCTGAAACACGAGTGGTTTTCTAATCTAGCCCAAAAGAAGAGCACGGATAGCCATTTCCCTTGGTAGAATTTAATCCTAGAATCTTCGAAGAAAGATCAATTAAGTCTCTACTCAGAACATCAATCTTTCAACCACTGGGCTGTGCCTTGGCCCAGGAGACCTTGGGAATTTCAGTGAGCCCCATAAGGCCTTTGTCTTTCAACCTCAAAGAGAACTAAGAAAATGGTAGTTCAACTTGCAAGTCACGTGGGCCTGTACTAACAAATAGTAAAAGCTGGCTTTTAGAGCAGGCCAAGGATAAGTGATACCTGCATACCTATCTCTGGCTTGACTGGGATTTACGTTTTCACTGCCATACCCTAGAACATGTATAGTTTGTATATTTGTACCTTATAAAGAGTTTATGCCTAAAGAACTTCCAAGGGTTTCCTGAGACCCAGTTTTACACAAGCGTCTTTGTCGCTCACAGAAGGCATGGATCCCTGAAGGTGGTTAGTGATCTCAGCAACCAGGTCTCTCGGGAAATTCCAGGTAACCCACAAGCATTTCAGGAGCGCTGGAAATTCTCTAACGGACTAACACAAACATGCAGAGGCACAGCTTTAACAGGGCCAGATTGGCCCAGAGGGTACGGAGATGTTTACTCTGTTGAGCCCCTGTGTGGGCTGAGAGGTCAGAGGGAAGCTCAAGTAGTCTTGCAGCCTTTCTTTGGGGTCCAGCAGCTCTCTCTGAGGAAGAACTGTGTTTGCTTGGTGCTCTCACATCCTTCCAGGGTCTCCAGAAAGCCTTTTGGTTGCTGTCTTAGGGCACTCAGCAGGCAGAAAAGTCAAGGAGAACCCCAGATCACCATCTTACCACAGCTCCTGTGTTCCCCTCCTCCAGCCTGGACGCTTACCTGCGGAGGAGGGTGTCTGGAGGGGAAGAGAGTGAGGGACAAGCTTCCCTCGCTGCTGGCTTCACCTCTAACCACAGGAAAATTTTCCACCATTTCCATTATTTTTGGCATGGAGCCATGCCATAGGAAGAGAGACATTCTGTTCAGGGAAGAGGAGGGATGGGGTCTAGTGCGGGAATTAGACAGGCAGGGAGGGAAGGAAGTGGAGTGGGAAAGCAAGAAGAGAGAAACAAAGGTAGGCAGAAAGAGAAGCAGGACTTGCTGCCTGCTAATCGGCACGATCGAAATGTCCGGGCAGGTCTCTGAATAGCAAAATGAGTGTGAGGAGTTGGATTTGTACATTTCATTATGAATCTTGTTCAGTCAATGCCTATTGACCTAAGTACATTATGACAGAAATTACTTTTAATTCTATGTCACTCTAAGTGACTTCAATAGTTCTGAAGAGGAGGAGCTGTACACTTGAAGGTTGCTTAATTTATCGTTAAATATAATTTGATTTTACCAAATAGTTCACAATGCAGTTCCCACCCCTCACTACCTAAAAATTATAAACAAACACATGTGTGAACACCTGACCTTGTAGGAACCCAGATAAACTGTGGGTTACCTGTATTTCTGGACTCACAGATGTAGCTTCACGGCTTTCTCTCCCACTCCAGAAGACACTGGAATGTAAGAGTGAGGGTTACTGATCTACAGGGATAATTTACTGTACGAATAGAGTTGTGTCCCCCAAAAAGGTATGTTGAAGTCCTAACCTGAGTACCTGTGAATGTGCCCTTGCATGGAAGCAGGATCTTTGCAGATGTTATCAGCTAGGTTAACAGAAGGTCATACTGAGTAGGGTGGGTCCTAATCCAACATGTGTGATGTCCTATAAACAAGAAGAAGAGACACAGACATGTACAGATGGAGAACAGGCATGTGACAATACCCAAAACCAAAAACCAAACCCATTGCCATTGAGTCAATTCTGACTCATAGTGACCCTATAGGACTGAGTAGAACTGCCCCACGGGGTTTCCAAAGAGTGGCTGGTGGATTTGAACTGTTGACCTTTTGGTTAGCAGCCAAGCTCTTAACCATTGTGCCACCAGGGCTCCATGTGACAACAGAGGCAGAAATTGTAAGCCAAGGAACTCCAAGGATTGCTGGGAGCCACCAGAAGCTAGAAGAAAGGCACGGAGCGGATTCGCCCTTAGAGCCCTCAGAAGGTATCAACAGGGCAAACACCCTGATGTCAGATTCTAGCCTCCAAACTGTGGGACAATAAATTTCTGATCTTATAAGGCACCCAATTAGTGGTGCTTTGTTACGGCAGCTCTAGGACTCTAATACACTTGCAGTGACTTTACTTTTCAAGAGTAACCATTCACACACTTTGGTACTGAGAATATTAAGAGCTGAAAATCATTTTCAGTGCACCTCATAAAAGACACAGACTCGCTGCTGTGACTTAAGACCCGTAGGCCTCAGAGCTGACCTTCCAGATGCTTCCAGGGACAAATGTTATTGCATCTAGACATGGGGGACACAGTGAGATATCTTCCCCCACTCCCAACAGGCACTACAGAATAAAGGAAGTACCACCACACTGGAAGAATAGAGGAGATAGCAGAGTACCAAGCATTTCCACAGACAAGAAGGGGAAGGTAGGCGAGGGACAAAATCACAGAGGAAGGAGAAGGGAATGATGGCAGAGGAAATAAGGGGGAAAAACAGCTCCTTCCTGCCCTCAATGAATTTTAAAATTTCTTCAGATCATGAATCATCATGGTCTTTCAAAGAGTTGGCGTCTACAGGTCTTTCCAAGGTACACCTCATCCTAGAAGACATTTCTGGAAAAGAGTATTAAGAACTTTTGTCATTAAGACTATTTCTCTAGGTTGTTTTTGATTGACTTTTAACAATCGATTCGTAAGATCTACGTTGTAATTGCTGCTGTGAGTTTTCTACAAGTTTTAAGTCTAATAAAATTAATCATTCTGATATAAAGAAGTAGTAAGTAAGGCTTTGAAACTGCAAATCAATGCTAATATTAGTATTTATTACCATTCAGTAAGGCTTTCCCTTAACCCCATTCAATACGGTCTTCCCTTCACCTCAGACAAATACTCCTTTCGCTATTTAATCAGGAGAGTGTAGGGTACTCCCAGGCTTGCACTTGTAACCTCTTAAATCCTTTAGGGATTCTATCAGTCAGAATTTCCTAATCTGCCCAAAAGCCAGTCCGAGCTTGCATTAAAACTAAAAAAAAAAAAACAAAAAACAAAAACAAACCTGCTACCGTCAAGTCAATTCTGACTCATAGATTTAAAAAAAAAGACAGAGGGTTTAACACTAAACCCCACCTGGTAGAGCTAGGCCAAGCTGGAGGAATCCCGGCAAATTAAACCAACAAGAGGTATCAGTGCTGGCTCAGTGGGCTGGGGGAATTTTTCAAATCTAATTAGAGCCTCTCACCTTTTATCTTGGGTCAGTGGACACATTTGCCCCATTGACAGCCAGTTTAATCATTTACTCTATTCACTTTATTCATGGCACTTGAATGTAGGAGAATTCTCTGGTGGGGATGAGCTCAAAGAATTGATTTACATATAAAAGAAATGAGAGGGAAAATGGTTTTAAAGCTCTCAGGATAATTTATTTAAAAGTCATAACCATAAAGGAGCCCTGGTGGGGCAATGGTTAAGTGCTCAGCTGCTAACCGAAGGGTTGGTGGTTCGAGCCCACCAGCTGTTCCACAGGAAAAAGACCTGGCGATCCCATAAAGATTACAGGCTGGGAAACCCAGTGGGGCAGTTCTACTCTGTCACATGGGGTGGCTGTGAGTCAGAATCAACTCGATGGCACCCAACATTAACAACAACAACCGTTACAAGTGATGGCAACTTCCCTGCAACGCTTGAAGGGGTCCTCAGGTTCTGCTCTCAATCCCCTGCCATTCACTGCAGTCAGTGCCTGTGAGAGGTCACTCCCTAAACACCCCAGCTGCTGACTGCTCTCTGAGCCACAGCTCCAATGTGTGCTCACGTTTTCCACCCAGAAACACCAGAATGAAAGCTCCAGGAGTCTTGTCTACCAATGTATCCCCAGCACCTAGCCTAGAAGCGCATAGTAGTTATCCAATAAATACTCACTGAATGAGCAAATGATCATTCCCAGTTACCTGTCACCAATGATCACCAAACATTTCTAGACTCAAACTCAGAGTCTCTCCCTTGGCCCTCCAACCACCTTCCCCTCCTGACACTAGTCTATAGGAACCCAGAATGTGAAATCTGCAATTAGCTCAGGTTCCTCTTCTCTGCGCCCTGTACTGGGCGCTGCCACTGATGTAGTTCTCTTCAAACGTGTCTCATTATTTAATTTCCTTTGGCTCCTGCCAACAGCCAAGGCCACAATATGCACCTCAAGCTTTTCTTATAATGATAGCTCTCCTTATAATTTTCTGTTTTCTCTTTATTCAATACACCCTGCAAACTGCTACTGTATCTGAAATACTGCCTTTTGACAGAGCTTTTTAACTTTCTAGGCTATGAGGGCTTTGTGTGTGTGCTCAGGCCAAGCACAGAGGCAGGAACATACAAAGGAGCGAGCATTGAATGGCTCATCTGCCACCAACAGTAACCCCTATGAGATGCTGGGAAATCGCCTCACCGCTCTGAATCTCCGTCCGCTCACTCATAAAATGTGAGGCTTGGAGTAGATGGTTTCCAAAGATACGTCTACCCTAAAATACTGGGTATCCTGCCAACTCCATAAAATCCACCATTAATTTCACATTCCCAATCCACTCAGACTACCTTCCAAACCCCATCCCATACAGGCCAATTACCTTCTACTCCAATCAGATTTCTGATGCCATGCCCAACAGGCTCAATTCCAGTGCTTCATCTTGGCTCATCCTACTTTCTTCTCCATGCGACCCACTTTCTTATCTGTCCAAATTCTGCACTGCCTTCAAGGTCCAACTCAAGTCCAACTTCTATGAACCCTTCGCTAACTCACCTGCCTACGATGGCATCCTCTTTATCCAAGTCCCTGTAGCAAAGTAACACATTTTCTCCCCACATCGGACACTCCAAGGGAGGAAGTCTTCCATGGGGAAGTAACAATCAACCTCCAAATGAACACAGTGGCAGACGTTCTAAGCCTTTACAATCATCTACCCAGCTTAAGCATTTAAATTAATTCTTACTTATCTATGTTTTGCTTTAAGGTTACATGTATACTGGAAATGTTTATCCTCTTGGCATTTAATATGGAAGAATTCTCCTCTGCAAGAATAGTGTATGTGTTGCAAGGCATACTTTGATCAAAGCTACTTAGAGGGAGGGGAATATTTTGAAAGGATGAAATCCCAGGAAATATGCTCAAGTCACAATAGGTAGAACCCTAAATGCCTTCTAAGGAAGGCAATTCCTCTTGACTCTAGGACTTTCATTTGGCTGAGCACTGAGCTGAGTTGTGTATTCAACTGTAACAGGAAATTGAATGGGACTTTTCGTGTTGTCTAGAACGTTTAACATAGTCTCAAACTGATAACAACAGAGAAAAGGTAGCCTCACATTCCAGGGAGATATGCTGAACACACAGGACTTATAAAAAATACAGCAAAATGGCCTTATGATTCTCAACCCCACTATATATCTGCAGCCTATAGAAGAGAAACTTGGAAGCAGAGAAATCAGGGCTTACTTCTCATCTGCAGAATTATAAGTATGCAATTCCTCTTTGAAAAGAAAAATGGAGTCAGATTGAAATTAGGTTGTTGCTTTTGGTAGTCCATGGTATAGTCAATATTCTTCGCCAACACCATAATTCAAAGGCATCAATTCTTCTTCGGTCTTCCCTATCCATTGTCCAGCTTTTGCATGCATATGAGG